GCTGAGTAAGATGTCTTTACTCGCTTTTGCCCGTCGAAGGGTTATGATGGTAGTTTTAAGTGTGAAGTTTTAATTTCACACTTTAATTTGTATTTACCCATAGAAATTAGACGACCAATTTAATTACAAGAATCTGTACAATCTTTTTACAAGACTTACCACTCAGTTATTTGCTAGTTAGTTTAGGGGCTGTTCAAGTCTATAAAATGTGAATGTGTTAACAAACTCTCTCCTCATTTGAGATGGTTAAAGCTTCTCAGGTTTGAAAATAAATTCAGGTCTATAAAACTTGCAACCCTAATTTAAAACAGGCTTTTTTAGGTGCTAGCGAGTCTGTATGCTGTGGCACGGCCCTGTCACTGTGTAATTTTAGTTCAACAATGAAAAATGCAACTGCTGTCATGAACAATGGCATTTACAAGCTGTTATTGTCAGTGATTGCCAGGGCCTCATTCCTTTTTTAAGCTTGTTTTATAGGGTCATGTGTTCTTTGGATCCTTGGCCAAATGCTGATAGCTGGTCATAACTTCTCTGAAGTCTGGGTTAGCCACAAGGGCACCAGTGCCTAAACTGCAAATGCCAAGGTCCTTTATTAGTGATTTAGATGGACATTTTTGAATGTGTATGCTTGCTAATGTTTATGTGCTTGGGTTGGACACATATGTAAATTGATCAGTTAATCAGTTATGATAATGAGATGTAAATCTACATGTTAAGTTAATGAGCTACAGGACTTAAAAGCTGCATGCCTGTACTTTATTGAATGAAACCATTTTTGGAAGAAATGTATTTTCTAATTTATTTAAATGAAATTCTATATGTTCTTTTTCATATAATAATGAATCATATAAAAAGATACAGTTATGTTAAACAGCTTAAACCCCAAACCAGATAAACACTATTGTATGTTTGTGTAAGTCATTGGCGCTAGCTGGTGGTGTGCCTGTTAAAGTGTGCACACAATAAAAGGGGCCGGCTGAAATAGATACCTTCTTCTCATGCAATAGCCATAACCACATTTGACCTTCACTATGTATGTGTGTGTGTGTATGGATGTGTGTGTCACATGTGTTTTTGAATTTGAATTTGTGAGCTTTGGCTTGTCACATACTGTAGCCTCCTCAGTTCTCAACATAGAGGTCTCACACTAATGAGGCTAAAGGTAGAATATTAGAATGGCTTTAATTAACAAACTAAGCCTGCTTAATGGTTTCACACATGTCAGCTTAAATCCTCTGCAAAATAAACATTCCCCTGTTCATGGGAATGCTCGGCTCAGAGAGGAATTCTCAGCTGCACTGGGAGCAATTCTGGAAAACTCGCCTGGAAAGGGAGTTGCCTCTTACTTAGCAGTCTTAATTCAGCATTTGGCAAATGGATTGTTATGGTTGACTTCGCTTCACTGAATCATTGTGTCACAAAATATAATGGTGATACTGATACAGAGAAGTTGTGGTGCAATTACATTTTTCATCCAACAAGATTAGCTCGACGGAAAAACCATCTCCCTGTTCCCTTTATCCCTGTAAAACTAAATACTCTAAATACCTCTTAATAATCTACTAATAATGACTGCATGCAGAGTAAGATATAATGTACCGCTTTCAAATCCACACATACCAATTTGGACACACATACTGTAAGCTTAAGCACAGACACACAGACTCAGACCCACGAGATCTGGCCTCATGTCCTTAAAGTCTACAGTATCATGATTATTTGCCAAAATGATTTCTTATGGAGTTTCTTTCACACAGACATTTACAGTATTTCAGTTAAACTTAATCATATATTTTCAAACGACAGAGCCAACTCATCCCATCATCATACAAAACATGCACTCCTATTTTTACTATCAGCAGTGCTAGAGAGCTTGGGCACCTTGTAGCATACACAAATATTCTGTAGCACTGACATAAAATATTTAAAAATTAGAAATTCTTCTAAATTAATTCCCATAGCATGAGGAGTTCATAACTTCAACTGTACAAAACACAATTCAGAAAAGAAAAAGGCTTAAACCTTTTTCTTAATATAAACACAAACCTGTGAGCTGAAGACTGAAACAACTTCAAACACATTTACAAATATTGTTGAGTAATAAATATTTTTAGTGACGAAGTAAAGGAAAACTGCTTATTAGCTTTAGGTAAATATTTTTGCTTTGGGAGCTCGTATCGTATGAGCTGGCTTCTCTGATTGCTGACAAGTCTTTTGACTCACACACTTTGTCACTGGTTAGTTCTTTGCAGGGCCTCTTACTGCCACTCTCAATCCTGAAAAAATCCTTTTCATCACTCAGCTTTTCAACCACAGGTGTTACACTGTATATGACAGATCACTACTCAGCATGTTCTCAGGTCACACGACTGCGCTGATGTTAGCCGGTGAATTATAGGAAATGATTTGGTTGGTTGGTTTGAACACACACTTTTATAGTAATGAGATGGCTTTACTGACAACATACAGACAGAGATCAGATGAATGATTGTGAATTTCTTCCACATGGTTGTCACTGTAATAATTAGGTTGGTTAATAAAGGTTGGATTAGCAGCAGTGATGTCTAATGTGTGCACATTGGTATTAGTTTTCAGAGACGTTTTTTTCCGCTCCATAAACGGCAGTGGGCGCAGTGTAGTAGGTCATATATTTTATTTCAAACAAGATGGTGCACAGTATCTGGTAACTTATAAAGGCGTGACGCTCTTTTTCTATCAACTTTCATTTTTAAATTAAGTCTCTTTCATTATTAAGTCCTGCCACTACATTCTGTGGATATAGCAGACCAAGGAGGGAAATTACAATCTGCAATTACGTGTTGTTGACCTGGATTGGTGCACCGTTCTCTGGAAAGGAGATAAATTCTTATTTATCTATCTATTAGTTTGATAAAGCTTTTCTTACATAAATCAAAAAAAGGGAACTGTTATACTGTATGTATAAGAAACATCCATTCAGAACATTTGTGGAGGTAACTATTATTATTATATTGTGGATGTTGAGTTTGATGGATTTGAAAGATTGGAAGAGATTCTCTGGTCAAATAGTTAAATTGTAATTCACCTCTGTTCCTGCCAAGCTCAACACGAGTCATCCAGGCATGCACCATTATAGAAACCACTTCATGCTACAGTGGTATCTGCTTTCTCACAGGGCCAAAAATAAGTGGGGGGATTGTTAGGTAGAGTTGTCACATGAATATATTCACGTGCTTGTGCACATACAACGCGTATTGAGAGTTTCCTGGTGGTTGTCAGCAACGAATCTGTCAGATATTTTTTCAGTTTTGCCATTCATCATTGAAGCAGACAATGTGAGGATGGAGAGAATGCCTCTGCTCTTGATTGATATTTCACCATGATTTATAATTTAGGTACAGTACACTCTTGGACAGGAGGCAGCGTACTTTTCTCTGCAATCAGCTAAGATTGAAGCTGATCAAGCTTTAAACTCAGATTTTGACTGTGACTCAATAAGGGGTAGTTAAGCTACTTTAGTCCGCTGTAATGTGGCTAAATAAGCATAGTAGTTAGACTTAAATGTCTGTGAATAAATGTTACCAGCAGAAACACTGAGCTAGCTGCTCAACATCTCAGCTGCAAACATCTCTGACTTAGCTAGGCTAGGTGTCAAGTTAAAAAATGCAGGTGTAGGTTACCACCAGCCAGATGTTTTTTCCCCCTTTGGACAGGCGGGGATGTAACAAACGCTTTAGAAGCAAGATTGTGATAGCCCTAGCTGTATGGTAGCTAGCTATGTACGCACCAACCATGTTGGTCAACTATCTCAGAGCTCATCACGAACTCCAGTTCTTTTCTCGTGTCTCTTTTTTCCTCTCATCTCTGTACATTTTTGAAGTAGATTTATAATACGTCCAAATGTCTGATTACACCATAAGAATGCTTCAGTTGTGTGAACTAAGACCATTAGTTTGATTTTACACCACTTCTGCTTGTTAAATGCACTAGGCAAATATCCTTTTGTTTTGTGAACAATTGGATGTATATAATCTATCTATCCTTGCTAATATTTTTTATATAATTAAGTAACCATTAAAAGGGATAACAAAAACCTATTTTTTCACAGCTGCAATTTTGACATGAAATAGTATGGTAAACACAGGTGTTACCTATTACCTAACTGAGGTTCTGTCTTATTCAGGTGAAACAGAGTCAGCTATTGTGCATGTTGGCTCACTGGAAAGCCTCTGCTACACTAAATGGAACAGATCTTTAATTAGTATCATTGGTAACCCTACTAGTTTATGTCAAAATGGCTGCTGTGAAAAAGTTATATTTGTTATAAATTATAAATCCTAAATCCTACAAATATCTAGTTTCAAATGATTGTGTTTTTATGTGGAGACAGAGTTTAGTTTTCCAGAAATAGAAAGGGTTTATGTTCCATAATACAGTATGAATAGGAAATTCAAACTCAGATTCTCAGACTGATCCTTTGGAAACAGTCTAGGTTCCCAGTCACAATATCAATTCCCCGCCAAATCGCAGTGTCCTATCCAACCAAAATAAATACACGAATAAATAAATATACAACCAGGCAACCCTTGAATCCAGACCCGTCTCTTCCTTGTGCAGTGTGGTGCACTCTTTGAGGATTTCTGATGTGCTCTCACTCAGTACTATTCTCCCCCTAATCATGATTTATTGCCAAACACACCCTACCTTTTGGCTCACAGATGTGAAACCCCAGACTGCCAGACCATTACAAAATGTGAATAATCTGACACTGTGTTCCAGGGCTGGAGACTGGACCCCTCCAATGATTCAGCAGCTAAATTGATCCCGACACCTACTGAGTGACTGATGGCATTCCCAGAACCACAGTGAATCCCTTCATTGGCCAGACTATGTGAGAGTGCGTGTGTCTGTGGGTGTGTGTTTGTGTGGGACTGCAGAGGTGATAATCAGCAGTGGCAAGAGGGACTTTCTTGTCCCTGTTGTTGTGCCGCGTGGAGCTGTCCCGGGCAGGAACTCCCATTTGGTCCCTTTCAACTCACCCCCCTTCTGCTGTCCCCTGAGCCCACCTCGTCTGTTATTCCCTCTTAACGTTCACTCAGTCAACCTCCTGTTTCCCTTTGAAGAGGCTCTGCTCTGATTTCCCCATGTTTTGACTCTGGAGAGAAGAGGGAAAGTGAAGGAAACTCTTGTACGAGTATATAGTGTAGTTTATAGGGAAAGAGAGTTAGAGAGAAGAGCCTAAAGGGGGCTTTGCAGCCTTTGCCGCTGTCGATCAGGAGTAGCTGAGTGGAAGAGCCCCCGCTCAGCAGCCGGTCTTTTCCTGCCTGCTGGCCTTTCTGTCATCTGTCCATGCAGTAAGGGGAGAGAAGAACAGAGCAGGCTAGAGAAAGTTGCCTCATCAGGATTTGCAGTCTTTGGACTGTGATAGTTATTTTTGAGTGGGGTGTTTGGGGAGGTTAGGGGTGTTAAGACTGCAGGTGGTGCTAGGGAGTTTGTATTGCCATGCAGCAAGCTTGGGATCGGACAAGTAGCACTGAGAGTGTCAAGAAAGGCCATACAAAAATGCTGGGAAAAGGACAAAGTGGCGGATACCCCCCTGAGACAACAAGTGAACTCTTGCAGAGGTAAGAGGAAACTATGTTCACCACCACCAGAAGGTATATATAGTATAGGCACATGCCTGGTTCTCACATGGCTGTATGAAAAATTAATTTGTTCCACAGGGATTTGGTTGACGGCATTCATGAATACACTGTAATTTCCAAAAGAAGCTCTGTTGGTGGGAAGTACTTCTGGAAGATGAATTATATCTGTACTGGAATGTTCGTCCGCATGAAATCTCCTACAGTGCAACTAAAATGTGCTGTCTGTTGTAGAACTAAGTATTTAGGTATTTCCTGTGAAATAGTGTTAAGCCTAATACAACAAAGACTAGTAAAACAAGAGTGTATATAAACTGGACTATATTCTTGTAAAAATGTAAATATCAAGAAGAGTATGAAAAAACAGCTTAAAACTAACTTTAAATGCATATCCTCACTCTAAAAAGAGACTCAGAGAAAAGACAAAAATTATTCTTATTTTACTCATTCAATCATTTCTGATATCTAATATTTATTGGTCTTATCTTTTTGAAGTAAAGTTTTATTTTAAGAAAGAAAATGAAAATAACATAAATGTCAAATTGTGCAAAACATATAGATGTTTGTGTCTCAGTAAAGACTGGCCTGAGTACTCTATGGTGGTGAGAGTAGATCAAGATAATTTGATTTAAATGTTTGTTGTATAATTAATCATTTAATTTGTTCTTTGTTTTAAGTACCTAAAAACTGTGATTAGGTTTTATGTAAACACGGAAAATTGGCTTTACTGTCTTATCTGTCTTATATAACAAGTCTTATATAACAAGTCATGTTCTTAGTTTTAACTCCAGCTGAACTGTTTTTACAAAGACAAGAATTTGTTTTATTTTACCTTCAATTTTTACAACTATTACATGCATTGTGTACATCCAGGAGAAGAAAAAAAACATTTCTTAAAACCTATATAAATGCAAAAATATTAGAATGTTTAAGTTTATTGTTTAGGTTGTTTAACGTAAGGTTTAAAAATACTTAGTGGTCATATATTAAATATAATTAACTAAACTACTTTCTACTTTGTTATCCGTCTTCAGATTTGCACCTTTACTCACAAGGGAATAAATATTATTTTCCCAAAATACAGCAATGTACATAATTTAATTTGTACAGCTTTGTTAAATGCAGACAACCTTTTAAGTGAATGCGGTTATCAACACAAATTAATTTCTGTTAGTTAAGTTAAAATGATTATACAAAATAAGGTGTTTTCCCACAATGTACTGTAAACATAAAACCACCAAATTCATGTTGAACATACCATATCTTCTCTACAAGACATTTTTAAAAATGTGTTAATTTGGAGTTGAGAAATTACGACGTAGTGTCTCTAAAAAAAAATGCATCTGGTGAAGTAATTTAAGTCAGGCGTCTTGCTGTGAAAACACCGCAAGGCCCTACATTCAGTCCGTCAGCTTCGCCATATAGCTGTATCCCAGCACTGGGTGAGATTATAAGACGCTTTACGTATCTCGTAGCTAAACCGCAATAGAGTGCTTTGCAGCATTGTATATTAGGAGAGGAATTAATTGTTTTTTCTTTTTATTGATTAGTATTGTTGTCCTCATTAGCAGCTCATTAGGGACAACCAGGTTATTTGCATTAAAGATTGTGTGCTACACTGGAGGCTTTTGGATGCTACTGGCTTTATTGGTCAAAGGTTTGTCATGGACCCAGGAGTGTAGTGAATAAGAGGAAATTGTGAATGTGTATTTTTATGTAAATATGTTGGTGGAAACATTTAATTTGATTATTTGCTAAGCGCCAAAGTAAAACACTCCAGCAGTCCATACATGGATTTTCAGTCTGCTGCTTATTTTAGATCGTCAACGAATTAAGGATGTGCTGCCCCACCTGATATCCTGCCGGGTTGTCTAAGATTTTGTATTAGCCAATCATGTATCTTCTTCTTCTTTCTAAAGGATACACTGAACAACTGTTAATACACAACTACTTAAAGCCAGAAACACCAGGGTACATATTTATATCATTAGAATTGCAGATACTATACATTACCATTTCAGTCTAGTTACTGTACTGTTATATGTACTGTTATATGTTTTATATATATATATA